AGACTCCGAGAGTGAGCCACGAGCCACTCCTCCAGCCTAAGAGCTGAAACGCCGAGCTAATGAAGAAACCCCAGCAGCATACAAAATTAAGTTACCCCATCAGCATGAACTAAGTACTTGCAGCGCCTGAGGTGTAGGCGGCTCAGGCACGAACCTTACAAAAAATAGCCCGCCCTGGCATGCAAAGAGTTGGACCCATAAAGGATAATAGACAACAACCTACCTCGGGTGCAGACAGGTCGGGCATGCGCCCTACTATGTCCCTCACCCCGACGTACACGAGGCTACCCCTACTAAACAGTTCGGGGCCACGATGGCCGTTAAGGAACACCCACTTCAGAAGTCCAACTCGATAGGTTAACAGCTTGGGGTGAGATAACCGTTTCAACAAAATTGAATTGCGCAAACTTTTGACAAAAGGAAAAAATTTCTTCATTGCAGAAAATTCATTACATAAATTCCATTAAGAACGTCTTGATTACAAGAAAGAAAAAGGGAGAAAATTAAGTTACAAATATAAAGAGCAAACTACTTCGGGAGCTCGTCGCCTCTATCAGGGACCTCCTCGGGGACAATATCTGGACCAGCATCCTCTGCTTCATCTTCGGCGCCCTCATCTTCGGAATCGGGGTCATCTTTTGACTGACGCACGATGTCGTTAGTGATCCGCGAAGTAGTGATGGCGCTCGTGTCCAGCTCGGGGTAGAGGTGCCTGATCAGCAACCGACTAAGCTTGAAACCCTTACGGTAAGCCTCCGTCATCACGTCGTCAAACCTTGAAGAGTTGACGTAGTCAATGACGGCCTGAGTCTTGGCCTCCTCGAGAGCACCCTCGAAGATTGCAGTCTTCTCTCTTATGTCTTCCTGGAGGTACCCCACTTCTTGTTCCAACTTTCCCTTCGCCTCCTTGAGGCCTTGCACTTCAAGCTTCAAGGCATCCCGCTCAGCCTTGAGGTTGTTCACCTCGAGCCCTAAGGCCTCCTGACCGACCTTGAGGCCGTTCACCTCGGCCCTCAGCTTGCCTTTGTCTCGGGCCAACTTCCCCTTCTCTTCCATTAACACCTCGATGAAGCTCTTTTGAGCCAAGGCGTCACTCTCCAGGCGGTGGACCTGACAGCGAGCTGCCCTCAACTCAGTATGGACTGCGCGAGATGACTTCTCAGCCTCCAAAGCCCGCCTCAGGTGCCGATCTGATTGAAGGGTCAAGGCACGAATGGCGGTGTTCACCTGCAAAAGGGGAACCGGTCAAGAGGGAAATAAAAAAAAGAAACAGAAGAGGCGAGGGGCGAAAAGAGAAGAAAGACTCACCACCATAGTATGAGTGGCAGCTCGGGCGCCGAGCTGACCAGGAGTGAGTTCGACCCACTCACTGACCTCCCCCAGGTATGCAGCCAGCTTGCTATTCCTCAGGCTACACTGGGGGTTCAGGACGGTTTGGCTCCCCTGACCCTCCGAGCTGGAAGCCGTCATCTCCACATCACGAGTGGAACTCTCAGAGGCTTCGGCGGCAACTTCGGCAGGATGAGCCCCGGCAGCAGTAGCATTGGCCTCGGCAACGCTTTCACCAGTAGGTCTGGTGGGCTTGCCAGCAGGCTCGGTGGGCCTAACGGCGGGTTCCGCCATCACCTCGGGCCCCTTAGGCACGGCCCCTTCTTCCAAGTCGACGACAAGCGCGGCTACCACCTCGGGCCCCGAGGCAGAAGTCTGCGAAGGTTGGGGCTCAGCTGAAGCTCGCAGGGACTCAACGCGCGCCTTCTTGGCTACGCGTTTCTTTCTCTTCATCTGGCGGAAGAGCTTCTGGTTGTCTATTCTCTCCGCCTCCATGGGACCTGCAGCGAAACACGACATCAGCAACCCGAAGTAAACATATGAACAGAAAGTCGAAGTGGAGGAAAACCTACCCGGGCTCAAGCTCGCCTGGACGAGCTTCTCCTCATAAGTGAAGTCTTTATAATTCAACCCGAGCTAAGCCAGTGACTGGAGCACCTTCTTGGTCTTCCCGTCTAGGATGACACCGGGGTCTTGAACGGCTATCCTCCAATCGGTCGGGAAGGGTCACCCCGTACTGATCCGGACTACAAAGTAGTCCCGCTTCCAAGCTGGGACTTTGCTCGGGAGCTTGTTCATGAGTTTGAAACTCAGGCGGGGGGACAGATAGTAGGATTGCCTGTGCCCGGGGAGAGCGCCCGAAGCGCTCTTCTTTATAGCCAAAATTGTACTGAGAACATCTAACTCTATGGAGAGGGAACGATCAAAGCAAAGAGAGATGGACCCCACCACATTCCGTATGGAGTTTGGGTGGAGTTGGTCCAGGGTGATGTTAAAGTGTACCAACACCTCAACAATCAAAGGGTGAAGAGGAAATCGGAGCCCGGCTATCAGTTGCTCCCTGAAGATCACAATCTCGTCAGGACCGTTCTCCCATGGGAAGTTGCCGGTGGGAAGGCTATATGAGTATTCCTTAGGGAGGCGGAACCTCTGTATGAGGTCCTGAAGCCTCTCCGAAGTCATTATTGAAGGCCCGAACTGATCTGGCTTCCGACCTCGGTGGAAGGTGGACGCCAAATGACCCAAAGCCACCCGTACTTCAGATGGTTTGGCAGTAGAGGAGTCACCCCGAGCCGAGGTACCCACCCCGGGCTCGTCGATAAGACTGTCTACACTAGACGACATAGCGAACTAAAGGGAAGAAACAAATTGAAAAGGGGAAGGAAGATCGGGGGGACTCACCAAAAGAAACGCAACCGGACTGGGAGAACAGGACGAACTGGAAGACCCGAGCTAAGAGACCTCCGACGCGAGCTCAAACGCTAATGACAAGAGCTTTGTGGCGAAGAAAATGGCCAAGGGTCCCCCTATTTATAGCCACAGCTGTGGGTTCCTCAAGGCGAAAACGGTTTAGCGCATTTTTGACGTCCGCGAAGTCCAAATCGCGTGAGATCCACGCGTAATCCAGACGCGACTCGAGTCTTTTTTTATTAAACTGGGCGCTAGACTAGTCCAGCTGGACGGAGCGCGCGACAAAGCGGCATGAAAACCAATGCCAAATCCACCCAGCGTGTCATGACCTCCCCGCGTTGGGCCATCGCCGCCAGTGCAGGGAGTGGGGGGCAATTGATGGAGGGTGATTTGGCTCGACCTCGCAGCACGGGTACACGTGGGCGTGACCTTGCTCAAACAGTGACTCAGCATGACAGCGCAACGGACGTGGCCACAACTCGGAGGGAAAGTCCCATCGAGCTCAGCTCGGCAACTAGGTGGGTAAGCCACTCACTGGAAGCCATCTTACCCGCAACTCCTCCCCGGGGTTAAGGCACTTCGGGGGGTCCCGAGTTTGGGGCACCCTGACCTCTCTTAAGGCCCGAGCTCCCCCCAATGGACCTCGGGCCACTCCTAGACAGGAACGCACCGATCCATCTCTAGACACCCCGAGGCATGGACACCTCGGATCAACCATCTCGGCATAACTTGCTACGGGCAGCTCATCACTCAAGAGACAGCCCGACTCGGGGTAATTCGCAGAAGGGTAGCTCGGCACACCGTAGGAAGGCTTCCTGCTAGACCGTCGTACTCGACAAATCTGTGGATAGCAGACATGTCCCTCGTCAGAAAGCGCCACACCTATCACCTTTAGAAAGGTGTCTCGCACCTGACAGGCACGTACCCTGCAACGACGGCCCTGTGCGTGCCACCTCAGCCTCGCCAGTAACGGCTGTGATAGACTGACAGTGGCGGTTATACCTACCCTGTCAGAAGCAGAGGGTCTGAATCAACGGAATTCAGTTATAAGGAACTTATTCTCAAGGAATAAGGTATCTTCGAATCACTGGCGCAATCTTCACTCTTAGCATTCGTTTTCCCTTCGCTTCTTGGACAAAATACTGACTTAATCATCAGAGTGTTCCTGCCGGGCAAACCCCTGAGAATTCTTCTTCTTCCCTCTCGTCCCAGGTACTTCTCAGGAACCACGTGAATACTAGGTAGGAGTGACTGGATCGTGCTACATCAAACATGGTTTCTTGGTTTTCAAACATGACTCCCAAACTGGCATTATGTGTTTGGGCTTCTGCACCTTTCACACTGATTGTTACATAACCACGTATAGCTGATTCAGTCATTCAGACGGCGTTTTATGTATAGATAAAAAAGGAGACCAAAAGAGCTGATCGTACATAGGCCATTTCTAATCAATGCATTATGAACACAACAATCATGAGCGCACTAGACATGGTGGCACGTAATAGCTGAGGGTCCAGGGTTTTACAACTGTGAACGGTCTGGCTAAAGGCCCCAAATCTCAGGGCACTTCGCACCAAAAAATAAACATATACAAGTAGATTCTCAAGGAATGCTTGCTAGCGCATGCAGTACGGGTTAGCTGCAATGCCAAATTAGCAAGAGAGAGAGAGAGAGAGAGAGAGATGGAGATGGAACTGACGACCTGAAAGCTACATATCATTCTTGAGATTTTTTTTTTTTTTCATCTCAATGGGGAGAAAAATATAACAAAGATCTTTATATATACAAATACAACAGCCTCTCAACCGAACCTGCTTGGGGTCGGCATTGCGAGGTGACAGGAGGATCCCTCGAAGGGTTAAATCTCAGACAAGGTCTAGAACCAGTCGGCTGGACATCTCTGCCTACAATCCCATTCGCACCTGCCCTCTGTAGCCTGTAGGCATCCCCTTCCCCTCAAACAGCTCTCATTGCCAACCAAGTGACCAACCATCTAACTAAGCAAGGAGGGCCTGTACCCACTGAGAAAGCTGCCCAATTCTCGCCAAGCCAACTAACAGTAATTGAATTTACTTGTCATCTATCATCTACAGCCCCAATATAAGTAAGATCAGTCCTCCTCACTCTCACAGCTCCTTTTAGCCAGTTGCATGCCTTTAGATTTGCATGGTCACCAGTAGCACCCACTCCACTGTTATTATTCAAAGAGGACCCTAACCCTGACCCATCTTCCAACAGCGTCCACGGGTCAACTTCCATGACTTGGTCCTGAGTTTGCGACTGCTTCAACTTCCCAAGAATGCTTGCAGGTGCTCGTGAAGAAGGTAATAGATTCTTCTGGGGCAGATTTGAATTTCCATGTTGGAACACAGGAGATTGCAGCGACGCAATAGCTGCACTTGAGATAGTAGGTGGTTGGCACGTAATGGAGAATGATGGAGGAGGGGGCATTGGCATCGCGGCTTGGAGCCGCCACCGTATCGTCTCGGGCAATTGCATGTGATCCAAGTCATTCTGCATGAGAAACATCAAAACAAAATACCACTAATTTATAGCAGCCTCTTACAAACTAGGAATTTATCCATGAGAACTGGAAATTTTATTATCAAAAATATCAAATCGTTACATGGACCAGATTGTACCTGTAAACTCTCTGCTGCCTCACGATCAAACACAGAAAAATCCCTAGGAGATTTGACGGTTGACTTGGAGGCTGACTTGGGCTTCAGCCATCTTGGTTTGCAACTGCTCAGCAACCCATGCAGGATAGACAAGAACCGATCAAATAGGCTGTCACCAGATAGATCCAACGATGCAATGACTGCTGGTTCCATTGGAGACTCCACCTCTCTTTTGGATGGAGAACTTTGTATCTGATATGATAGATCAGCATCCTCATGCACCACCCGACTTCCAAGCAGACGAAGTATGATAGAAGCAAGCATCTGCCTCATGTTCCTGCTAGACAATTCCCTGGAATTCCAGTTATGCAGTTTATAAAATTTCAATTCTATGAAAAATTTTACAAAATTAATGACTTCAATAACATGTCCCAGGTATATTGCTAGATGGGTCCTAGAGTCTGCAGTCATTGTAGCCATATTGTACATTGTAGAGAAATTTGAACCAAATAGAATCATGAATAGTATAGTAAATTGTAGGATTTTATCCCACTTCAATCCACATCTACCATATATGCACCTAAAACAAGAGTTAAACATTTGTATGCTAGAAGTCTAAGATGATATAATCAAGTTTGACTAGAAAGTCAAATAACTCGCATGCAATAGCTCTTTAACCAAAATGAAAATAACATCAATACCATTTCTAAATGGCCTTAAATAACCTAAATAAATCATTTTCTAGTAAGGTCGGTAAACAAGTCTTCCTTGACAAATACTAAACAGAAACGAAAAAAGACGGTAGAGATTTAATTCCTAATTGAATTGATTTGAATCAAACGAATTATCTTAGGAATTATTAATCAAATCATACAATTCAAATAAAAATTGTGAGATTTGTATAGAAAAAAAATCCAACATAGGGGTGATCATTCCTAGCTTGGCCTGGAAGCCCAACCTACAATGTGTTTTGTGTTATTTTTTATTATATTATAAATAAGTATTATAATATGGCACATAATATACGTACATTATATGTCATAAATATATAATATTATATATATCATATAATATATTTAAACCAATAGGCCCAGAAGCCTGTCTGGCCCATTATTTAAAACCCTTGTGTTCCGTGATCTACATCCAATTATGTTGTACGTTCTAAGGGTTGGATACATCATGAATGGGCTCAGTAAGCAAATTACATGAGTATAATCACTTTACCATTCTTCTTTCATTTGGATGGAGAAAAGCTCATAAGTCTGAAAATACACAGTAAGAGACGGTTAAAAACTTTAATATTTACCAGACAATTTTTATGACGCCAGAAGGATATTGTACCAAAAGAACTTTAACCAATCAGAATCCCTACATTAATTTTGATGAATACCAGTTGATTGGTTACACTTGTATGATACCAGTTGATTGCTTATCAATTTTTTATCATGCCTTTAGTATCAATTTTCTTTTTCTAATTTTTTTCTTTCATAATTCAGATCTTTTTCCCTTTACCCACCACATAAATGATAAAATGAGTTTCTCTACTATCATACTACATCAATCCGTCTTGCATATTACAATCAAATTAAGTGCATGTGGCCACATGAACACACTATCAAGGTTAAAAATTATGGCAGTGGTGGGGCTACCAGTGCTAGACCTTGTTGTTATGTTTCTTTGCCCACAATTTACCCTAGACAATAGTTACCTAAATCCCTAGATGATCTACAAGTTTGTCAACTGTTTCAACATGAATCAATGCACAATTCAATTTGCCTGGATTCAAAATTAGGTTATATCTCTATCTATCTATCTATCTATCTATCTATATATATATATATATATATTTGGTCAACTAGATGAAAGAAAATTCATTGTTTTTATGTTTTAGGGGGGTGCAGCTACAATATATATATATATATATATATATATATTTGGTCAACATGAATCAATGCACAATTCATTGTTTTTATGTTTTAGGGGGGTGCAGCTACAATATATATATATATATACACATCAAAATACATAAATCAGACACATTCCTATTACCCCCCCCCAAAACCCCATTAACATAATTCCCACAATCAGATCATTCCAATTACCCCCAAACCTGATTAGATAGAATTGAATGAATTCGAACATCATAGAAAGCCTTTTGCATGGCCAAACAAGAAATAACCCTGCCTACAGACTGTTTGATAATCTCCCCAACCCATGAAGTATCTCCTTCAAAGATCTTCATGTTTTGTTCCTTCCACTTAGACCAAATGGCTGCAATGGGGATGGAAGCACAAACCAGTTTGCCTTTTCCATTCAGACCTTCCAAAGAGAGGACTCTATGATTTACTCTTCAGGATGGAACAATCTGTAGAAGGGAATAAGACAAGGAGACCCTCTCTTTCCAGAATTGGTAAATGCTGTCATTATTCAGTATTGATAAATGGGACAGTGGTAGACTTATTTCCAGCATTGAGGGGAATAAGACAAGGAGACCCTCTCTCCCCCTTCTTGTTCATTTTGATTGCAGATGTTATTGAGAGATTGATTCACAGAGCTGACTCAAGAAATCTGTTAAGAGGATGGAGATTAGGAAGGGAGGAGAATCCACTCACACACTTGCAGTTTGCAGATGATACAATCCTTTTTTTTTTTTTTTGTGAAGGGGGGAATATAAGCTGGATTCGGAGTTTGAAGTTGGTTATACAGCTTTTTGAGCAAATGTCCAATCTTAAGGTGAACTTTGAGAAACGTTGTATTATGGGAACAAACATGGAGGAAAGAGAGGTTAGGGGGTGTGCAGATATTCTGGGATGTGTAACTTCAGATTGGCCAATAAGTTACTTGGGCTTGCCCCTAAGACTTAACCCTAGGAAAGGAAGTTTTTGAAACCCAGTGATGGAAAGATTTGAGAAAAGGCTTGCCTCTTGGAAGAAAATTTATCTCTTTATGGAGGGGAGGATCACATTGATTAGGTCAACTCTAACTAAATTACCTGTTTATTTCCTGACAGTATTCAAGATCCCCTCACAGGTTTCTAATAAGTTGGAAAAGTTGATGAGGGACTTTTTCTATGGGAGACGGGAGGAAAAGAGGGACCATAGGGTAGGTTGGGAAGTGGTGACTAGAAGCAAGAGGCAAGGAGGGTTGGGGATTGGGAATATTAAGAAAAGGAATATGGCATTATTGGGGAAATGGCTATGGAGATTTCCTTTAGAAAGGGATAAATTGTGGGCAAAGATAGTGGTTAGCATTCATGGGTTGGAGAACAATGGCTGGGATCCTGGAATCTTGGCAAGGGCCACAAGCACTTCTCCTCGGAAAGCCATCCATAATCTTATTCCAGTCTTTTCTCAATGGACCAGGTATGAATTGAATTCAGGTAAACTTATTAAATTCTGGGAATAGACTTGGGTTGGGGATTCTACTTTGTCAAGCCAACTTCCATCTTTGCATGCTCTCTCTGACCTCAAGAATGAGAGCCTATTTCCTCTTTTCTAGTCCCTTCAAATGCTTCCTCTGGTTTTGGTGGAATTTGAATTTGAGAAGGGTTGTTAGGGACATTGACTAAGAAGATACTATGTCCCTCTTGGCAATCTTTGAAAATGTGTTTCTGAACCCTCTAAAGGAAGACTGCAGAATTTGGACTCCATCCCCCTCGGGCTCTTTCTCTTGTGTCTCGTTCTTTCAGTCCCTATCCCAGCATCCTAGTCCCCTTGGGATGCCTTTCCCTGTTAAAGAAATTTGGTGCAAGCCTATTCCACCTCAGGTTGGGAGTTTTTGTTGGGAAACCTTTCTGGAAAGAATCAACAGGTGTGATCTTCTTCAAAGAAAAAGACCCAAGACTTGTCTATCCCCACACAGGTGTGTTCTTTGCAAAGCTGATGAAGAGAGTGGGTACCACTTTGGGTCTTTTTCTTTGAAGAAGGGAATGCTATAGCCCTTTTCTCTGGCCCAATTGGAGAGGGTGACTCTCTCAGGGCTGAGATATCAGCAGCCTTGGGAGGGATCCAAAGAGCAAGAGAATTGGATATTAGGAGACTGATTCTTGAAGGAGATTCAGAGGTAGTAGTAAGTTGGTTAAAGGAAGACAAGCCTGGTTTGTGGAAATACAACAATGAGAGGAAAATTTTAAATGGCTGGCAAAGGATATTGAAGTTAAGTACAGCTGGGAAGAACTGCAAATTCCTTTGCTGACAGGCTAGCTAAGCAAGGGGTGTATAGGGCTTCAATGTTTTGGGCCTTTTTTCTAATTCTGTTCTTTTTATGCTTGTGGGGGGAGTTAAGAGAGTTAACCTCCCTCTGTTTGTTTGTAATCCTTCCCAATTTATTTCAATGAAATTCCATTATTGATCAAAAAAAAAAATCTGTAGAAGGGACTGCCTAGTAGCATTAGATGATTCCTATTACATATCACCCGTGGTCTCTTTGGCATCTGATAAAAGAAGCAAAGGCATTGACATTGAATATGAAGAACTCATTTACAGAGTTTCTTAGAACAGCCAATAGTGTAGCCAACTTTCTAACAAGGGAAGGAATAACGAGGGAAAAGCTGGATAGAGGCACAAGGCTTGGGAAGTATAAAATGTGCTTTAGCATGTCAGTCTTGCTATTTGTATTGGTTCTCCTTCATCCTAATGCTATGGAATGACTGGGGTTTATTCTTTGTATCACTATATTAATAAAATCTCTACTTACTGTACTGTTACTGATAAATGGCCATTACTTGGTGCAATGGAAAATCTCAGGCTGGCATGCATGAGTAGGGCTGCAACTTGGGACAGGTTAGCCGTTGGCCTGAACCCAACCCAAAAGGTCAGGCTAGGGTTGAAAAATATGAACCTGACTTTATTTCAGGTTAGGTTAGGGTTAAGGCCTTGACCAACCCAAACCCATATTAACTTTGATAATATTATATAAGCATTTATTATGTATTTAAGTATTTATGCAACCATGCATCCATAAATGTATGACGTATGTATGTCAAGGCTGACACACTAGCCTGAAGCCAACCATGTGTGTATATGTATGCACATATGTATGATGTATGCATGTCAACAAATTTACGTTTAACACATTTTTTCTAAAGCATGATGACTATGTCGTAACCTAACTGACCTCCACCTGAGTCTAGGAAATAAGAACACTTGGGGCAAAAGAAAGTAAAAAAGTCAGGCCAACCAAACCAAAATCATGATCCCAACCCAATCCAAAAACGTTGGGTTGGGTTATGGTTAGAATTGAGGACTCAACAGTTTGGGTTGGTTTAGGGTTGACCTCAACCCTACCTATCCCAGCCCAACTTGCACCCCTATGCATGAGAACGTGGGGTTCAAGTACCAGGGTGGCCACTTTGTATGAAAATACAAAATGCCAAAGGTTTGAGCCTACTGTTACTGATAAATATTCTCCCAAGGGAGAACATGGAAGCTTAAAATCATATCCTCCAATAGTTCGCAATATTGGATTTGTTGTGCCAACAGATTGCAACTGTTACATGCACTGCAAGAAGAAATTAATCTGCGCCTGAACTACTGTGTACATCCAGCAAGAGATAGTACAACAGCATATAGGCACAACAATTGGAATCAGAGCATATTATTACCTATCTGCATAAATGAGTGGAAGAAACCTGAGGAGGAATTGCAATCGCAACCACATTGAAGCTCGCAATGCTGCAGATGAGGGTGGTGCAGAATCAGATAGTCCTATTAATCGCCTACCTAAACCAGGACTGCCATGCCTTGTTCCTTTGCGGCTGCTGCTTTTGCTTGTGCTGCCTTCAATCCCAGAAGGAACTGCTCCAGCCTGCTTATTTATGCCATGGGTAACTGCATTTATTTGTTGCTCAATATTATTCATTTGTTTGATTAATTCATTTGCAAATGTATTGCGCGACTCACTGGAACTCCTATCTATGCAAGGAAGAACCAACTCAATGAGAGCTCTCTCAGTTGCATACTGCTGACTGGAATTGAACACTTCAGCATCCAAGATTTGGGTGGTCACCCTTCCCAGCCTCTTAAAGTCAATGCCTTCTTCCACAACTTCCCCTTCTTCAAGGGAGCTCACTTCAAATTTCTTTCTCTCTCCTTTGCTTGCTGCTAGATCAGCAGCAGAATGTGGCCATCCCCATGGCTTCCAAAATTGAATTTTAGTTGAAAGACCCCTTAATTGAGCAACATTAATAAGGCGTTGTCTGATAGACTTGCGTCCAAAAAGGACATCATGACCAGCCAGAAACCATTTAGCATGTAACAGCAGTGATTCCTCCAATGATTTCCCAAGTAGATGTACTACCTCTGAATAAAGGGGAGAAGCATCAGGTCTGACTAGTAATCTTGTGAGGATTATCTCATTGAAATTGTTTTCATTCTCAGAAAGAACAGAGTTGTCAGAATTAGGAAAAAGAGAGCGAATAGCTTCTACAAATGACATATTATGGGTATCAATTTTTTCAATAAGCGCTTGTTCATTCAAGAGAAGCCTAAGCTCTACCCACTGCCAATGAAACTTTGCTGGTTGAAGGGTATCGAGAACATGCACTAGCTGATCCTGAAGTTTTATCTCACTTTTCGTGTGTTGTAATTTTGATTCAGCACTCCCAGAGACCTGAACCCCATCATCTTGTGAGATCATGGATTGTGGAATTTTACAATCAAGGATTGCATTCAGGAAAAGTCTTGCACGGAGAGGTACAAATGCCATGGTTTTCATATGTTTGTCTGCACCATGCATTTCCAGCATAGCCACAAACTCAGAATTAGCAACATCTGAGGCTAAGAGATCATAGAAAGCACAAGTGTCTCGTAAGCATACATCCCGAAAAGGTTGGTGCGTGATGGCTTCACCTATGGCTGAAGCCAATGACTGATTCAATTGAACATCATGAGTTATAGTATTACTATTGAGAACATATGGTCTCCATAACATTAAAGCAAAGATTGAATAGGCAGGAGGCAAGACCAAGCTAAGAGGAAGCATTCGCTGCATTCTTGAAAGAGCTAATATATATGGTTCACCAAGGAGCTCCACAATTAGCCCATCAGAAACTGTTCTATAATTTCCAACAAGTAGTCTAAACCAGTGCAAATACACTTCAATAGAGTTATCCACCTTAAAAGCACTAACTGAACGAGAAATTCCATTAGAACTAGACTTTGCACTCCTCACAAATTGGAGAATGTCCAATCCTTCCTTTAACCTCAAGGCAGATACCATCCTCTCCAGACTAGCAGCTCCATGAACAACTGCACCAATCACAAGTGCAGATACAGCAGCTGCAGCTTTTGTGGCCCTCCCAATAAATACTTTTGTATAGTTAGTCAACATTTCATTTGACAGATTGGTGCTGGAATCATGAGCTTCAGGTGACAGTTGAAACTGACTACGAGAGCCTTTTCCTGGAGCAAGGGCTGCAGCAACAGCAGAAGAAGCTTCTATGGAAAGAGCTATCTCAAATACACGGCTCTGACGCTCTCCAATAGCTTCCTTCAGTAAACTGAGGCAAGCTATGTGAATGCGTAAAATATGCCGAGCACAATTCAATGATGTTATAGGAGATGGAAAGCTTTGGTAGTTACCACTTGCTGTGAAGTCTGGCATTTTTGCTAAAGCTGGACCTACATTAGCAACAATAGCAGAAACAGCAGAGGCCACAATAAAGGGATCCACCTCTTGAGATGTACTGCTGTTCTGCCTAGTACATTCTATTAGTCCCAAAACAATTTGTTGAGCTATGCGATATCCATCATCACATTTTTCTATGACTGGGCCTTTTGGAGTACCTGCTGCAAATAACTTTCTTTCTTTTCCAAAGAAAGAATGCATAGCTTCATCAACATGCTTTTGCACCATCTCTTTCATGCTCGGGATTGGTCTAGTCAACCTGCCACTTAATTTCTGACGGAAATAATCATCAAGATCATCCACACCAGCTGGAACACCAAGCGAAAATCCCAAGTTTTCATCCAGTGATCGTCCAGATTCAAGTTCAACAAGAAGTCTCTGATCAGATGTTGCCTTAAAATTCTTCTCCCATTTTTCCACACTAACCATGTTACCATATTTCTTTAACAAGTTTCGAGCATAAACAAATGCTGCTGAACCAGAAGCCCTTCCATTAGAAGCCATGACTGCAGCAGCTCGAACCATAGAGGCACAAAGAACTTCAGGAATAAGATCTGCTGCTACAAGTATGCTCTCATACCTGAAAAAAGTAATGATTTTTAGTATTATACAAGACGAGCTAAAATGCAATTGTCATACCATGCATGCATAAAGCTATGCAGCTTCAAGTGGCACTGCAGTCATAGAGAAATAAAATAATATGCAAGGAGTCTCCAAAAATGAAACTATTTTATAGGGAACTGCTTCAGCCATGGTTTAAAATGTCAACATATTTCCTAATATTTCCATGAAATATTTTTCCAAGTGTACCGACAAAATATATTATTGAAGTCAGTTTCAAGAGGCATTAAGATGGAGCTGTGGAGGAAGTGAGTGAAGATTGAAGCAAAGAGTTTTTTGTACAAGAGGATCATGATAACAGAGAAGGTTACTTTGAAGATTAAGGAAGTGAATATGGCGATGGTGCTACTGTGTGTAGAGAAGTTATAGTATGGTTTAAGAACTTCATAGAAGGGGATCTTTATTCAAGTAGGAACACTGAGTGGAAAAGTCATAAACTGGAAGGAGATAGAAGGTTTAATGCAGAGACGAAGAAAAAAAAATTGGATAGATTAAAGGAAGAGGAAGAAAAATTTTAAAGGAAGATTTATCTCTCTAAGAGTTTTCCAGGAAGGAAACCAGAAGGAAGAATGGGGGAAGGTTGGAAAGAGTTGCTTGGATTACTACAGGACTAGCAGGAGATGATAGATGAGCTTATGATTGAGGTTAGTACACATAAAGAGTCAGAAGATGGATTATAAACCAGAAAATCTGAAGATAGAAATTAGTCATTGGAATCTGTTTCTTCAGATGTTTGGTTTGGGGAAAGAGTTTTTTTTTTTTGATAAATGAGAATAATTTTATTAATTAAAACAACGAAAATACAATCAGCCTAGAAGGCATGAGATGTTACCTCCCCCAAGGACTGAATCATATACACTAAACATGCCCAAACCTGAAACACAAATTACAAAGTAGCCCAAAACAGATCTCCCCTTGACACCCCTTGCTTGGCCAGAGAATCCACCATTGCATTTGCTGATCTGCTGACCCACTGAAACCTTAGTCATATTTCTTGTCATCCATTTAACTTTCTTTAACAGATCCCTGTAGCCCCAACAAGCTGTATCTGGGCTATTCAGTCAGCCCACTACTACCTTGGAATCCCCTTCTACTAACAAATTGTTCACTTCAATTTGACTAGTCATCTGTATACCTTGTACCGCTGCTAGTAACTCTGCCCTTACAGAATCACCTTCACCCACTGGTCCTGAAAATAGAGACAACATATTGCTGTCTTTGTCTCTCAGAATCCCACCAATTCCGGATGAACCTAGGTTACCTTGGCAGCTGCCATCAAAATTCAATCTTACCACTCCATCCGGTGGGGGTTTCCATTCAACTTGTGGTTTGTTCTTGGTGGAGACTGTAGAAGCCACTGCTGCCCAGTCTCTCATCAAAGGAGAAATCTGCCAACAAATGTGAAGATTTTAACCATGAGATTGCCCTTGTCAATATGCATTCCTTGATTTCAGCAAGACTTCTTTCCTTTTCTGGAAATATTCTAGCATGTCTCTCCTCCCATAAAATCCACAAGGTAGCGGCTCTGATACATTTCCACATTAGCTTCCTTCTTTTTGTCAATCTCCCAAAAGCAGCCGGAGTGAACAGCAGCTTTACTTCAGAGGGCAAGTTCCACCGCACCCAAATAAAGAAATAACCCAGTTCCAAATATTGGCAGCAAAGGAGCCCGATATCAACAAATGGTTACAGTCCTCACCCTTCACTTTACACATGAAACACCAATTTGGGGACAGACACATAAAAGGTTTCTTCTTTTGCAAGTTTTCCACAGTATTGATCTTACCATAATAGGCTTCCCAATAGAACACTGCTATTTTGGGGGGTATTGGCCTTGACCAAACCTCTTTAACAGGGAAGAGCTGAAAGGAGGGGTTAGAGCAAAGGGATTTAAAGAAAGATGCACAAGTGAAGGAGCCAACCGAGGTTAGGGCCCAGACTCTTTTATCCGGATTAGTGGGGTCCAAACACACCAAATCTAGAAGCAACAATAGCTCTGAAACACAGAAATTCTTCATCCCTTAATCCTCTTTGAAACCCAAAATCCCAGTTTAAAGCCAAAGGGCAAACCGGGGGGGAAAGGAACCATGAAATGGGTTTCTTTTTAAAGGGGGAGATGGAATAGAGAAAAGGGAAACGATCTTTTAGCGGTTGAGTGCTCACCCATGTATCTTCCCAAAAAAGAATGGAGTTTCCAGAACAAGCATCGTACCTTACAAAACTGAGGAATTTAGGGAGAATGCCAGAGATAGCCTTCCAAGGTGTTGTGAGCAAAGCCCTTACCTGATTCAAAATAGACATGGATACTTTTCACTACTTCATGCCACAACCTCTCCCGCTCTAGGGGCCATTTCCAAAGCCACTTACCTAAAAGAGCCTCATTCTTACTCACCACATTCCCTAAGCCTAGGCCTCCTTTTTTGCTCCGACTCACCACCTCCCACCTAATCAAGTGATCTTTTTTCTCTTCTCCAGGTTCCCATAAGAAATCCCTCACCAGTTTTTCCAACCTCTTTGCCTCCCTTTCAGGAATTCTAAGACTGACAAGAAGTATAAAGGCAAGTTGGCTAAAGTTGCTTTAATCAAAGTAACTCTGCCTCCCACAGAAATATAGTTTCTCTTCCAAGGTACCAATCTTTGTTCGAATTTTTCCACCACCGGGTTCCAGAACCTACTTTCCTTTGGATCTGTACCTAATGGAAGTCCTAGGTAGGATAAAGGCCATCGAGAGAAAGTGCATTCTAACAAGGCTGCTATAGACTCCATCTCCCCTCTGTTCAAATGAACTCCCACAACACAGCTCTTCTCAAAATTTACCTTCAAATTTGAGGCCCCCTCAAAGTGAATTATTAAATCCTTCAGATTCCTTACCTCCATCAAATCACAACCTTCGCAAAAGATTATTATGCCATCTGCAAATTGAGATGGATTACTGAAACTCTATCTCTACCTATTCTCCACCCTCTTAGAGATTCAGCTCTATCCGCTTCTGAGAGGAGTCTACTAAAAGCATCGGAGACTAAAATGAAAAGGAAAAGTGACATGGGATCACCTTGTCTCAGACCCCTACTAGCTGGGAAAAAATCAATAACTACCCCATTAACTAGGATGGAATAATGGCAATTGGAAAGGCAATCGTTTATCCATTTGCACCATTTATCCCCAAACCCACGCTTCCTTGGCACTTGTGAAAAGAATCCCCAATCCACTAAGTCATAGGCCTTTTCAAGATCTAGTTTACAAACATAATCTTCCCACCCAAAGAGAGGTAAAAGTCATGTTTCTTGTAAGCCAGTTGACTTTCCTCAACAAGTTTTTGTGTCGCCACATGACTGAAGTTGGGTCTGTCAGCCATCTCACAACAATCTGAGAGTCTCCTTCCACTACCAGGTGCTGAACTCCTAATTGTTCTGCAATCTGAATACCTTGTACTGCCGCTAAAATCTCAGCTCTATTAGAGTCTCCTATTCCCACGGGGCCTGAAAACAAGGCTAAGATGTTGCTCTCCGTATCTCTCAGCACCCCTCCTATCCCCAATGGGCCTAGGTTTCCTTGGCTGCTACCATCAAAGTTCAGCTTTCCCATCCTTCGAGCAGGGGGATCCACACTACAGATTCCCTGTCCTTGTATGGCTGTTAGCCACCGCTATCCAATTTCTCCAAATATCATCAAAGGAAAAGGTATAAAAGAAGTCCACACAAAATGATTATTTTAGTTTAATATTGTCTATTTTATAATTATAATCTCCAAAAATAAAGAACAAAGAAGTATTTTACAATAGAAAGTAAAAAACTGCTTGGCAATTAGGCAAAGCGAGCCTCAAAGGGCACTTTGTCGCCTTGACAACCATGGAACACTCAAAACCTTTTTGCTCAATTTCAATCATTTTCCATTGAGCTTTTGATCGGAACCAATTACAAGGAGATGGAGAAGTCAGGTTGATACAATCTTAGGGGCCTATGGATATGAAATTTGCCTCATACAACCTAAGCCTTTACAACCTCTAGTAAATGCAAGTAGTCAAGCTCACACTAGAACAGAATTCACAGGCATTAGTCCCTTACAAGAAGCTTTCATGGACTGAGATGCAGAACCGCCGGGAGCGCGGCCTCTGCTACAATTGCGAAGAGAAGTTCGGCCAGGACACAAATGCAAGATTCAAAGGGCCTATCTACTCCAAACTGATGAGTCAGAAGAACCAGAGAATTTGGCAGACTCTAACAGCCTAGAGGAGAACAACCAAGACTCGCCGCAGATCTCTTTACATGCCCTGAGTTCCAGCTCCCCAAGAACAATGAGAGTCGAAAGTATAGTGTTAGGTAAACCCGTATCTATTCTGATAGATAGCGGCAGCACATTAAATTTCATTTCTGAGATTTTATCCAAGAAGTTAGGCCTAACTGTGTATCAGACCCAACCTTTCAACGTTTGGATTGCCAACGGCCATAACCTTCCATGCTCCAGCCTATGCAAAAATGTCATCATGAAGGTACAAGGCTACCTTCTTCAGGCTGACCTGCACCCTCTTCAGTTCTCAGGAGCAGACATTGTGCTCAGCATCCACTGGCTCACCCAACTAAGCCCAGTGGTATGTGATTGGGGGCGCATGACAATGGACTTCTCTGTGGATGGCGTGGATTGCCATCTCCAAGGTGTAAGGCCCATAATAGCCCAGAATCAAAGCCTCCAGTCCATGATTAAGTGCTGCATACAGCAAGGACACCACCTTTTGATGAATATGGGCCTAAGCCCAAACAGTCCCAAGCTGACAGAATTGAATTCAGAACAACCACAGCTAGAGATATCCAGGGAGCTCCAGCACCTCTTGATGAACTTTGAGGATGTATTCAAGGAACCCTAGGGGTTGCCACCATCCAGGCAAAGCGATCACAGAATCCCGATCGCACCAGGTGCTCCACCGGAAAATGTAAGACCATACAGGTATCCAAACTATCAAAAAAATGAAATAGAAAGGATTGTAGCTGAACTGATATCCAAGCAACACATGCAACCCAACTCCAGTCCCTATTCATCACCGTTACTGCTTGTCAAGAAGAAAGACAGTACTTGGTGATTCTGCATTGATTACCGGGCATTAAACCAGATTACTGTCAAGGATAGGTTCCCAATACCGCTGATCAAAGAACTCTTGGACGAACTCAGATCAGCCACTATCTTCTCCAAGATGGATTTAAGATCCGGCTATCATCAAGTAAGGGTCCACCCAGATGATGTCCACAAGATGGCATTTAGAACACATGATGGCCATTACGAGTTCCTAGTAATGCCATTCGAACTCACAAATGCGCCATCAACATTTCAGTCACTCACGAAAGAGGTATTTCGTCCATACCTTCGTCGTTTCATACTTGTGTTTTTTGACGATATTCTTGTATATAGCGCAGACTGGGCTGCTCATTTGGACCATCTTAGAATCACATTAGAAACTTTACGGCACCATCAACTGTATGCAAAAAAATCTACATGTGATTTTGGCAAAACCCGGATTCATTATTTGGGCCACGTGGTGAGCAAAGGCATGGTCTCAGCCGATCCAGAGAGAACAGAGAGGTTTCTAGGTTGAATCTTTCATAGCTTTCTTATTATTTTGCCTTGTATTTATAGATGTTGAAGTTGGTAGTTGTAACAAATCAAGAATCAAAATTGCCACTTGTCTCTTGTACAGCTGGTTCTTGCTTAGCTGGATCTTGCCTGGCTGTTTTTACCCCATGTGCTTTTCTCCTTGAATATACTTGTTTTATAACTGGCTTATTGGCTCGGTCTTGGTTTCTAACAATATGTGTGTATTTTGTTAAATTATCATGGTCTTGCCTTCTTGGATGTATGTTAGGTTCAAACTGAGCAATTATATCTCTCTCTTATTTTAGTCTAAGTTTGGGACTGCTTATTTGAAAAATAAGGGGAATCAAAGAGGCATCTAGAAAAGGAGGGGTTGAACCAGATTAGGGTAGGTAGAACTAGTAGGCCAAGTGCATTCATTTCACTCTTTGTAGGTTACATGGGGGTGACAAGTGTAAACAAGTTTGGGTCAATTATTTCGAAGCCCATGTGTGAAGGAGGGAAAGAAATGAGATTGGGTGGGCCAGTTTTTGAGCTTAAGCCATTGTGGGGAGGGCAGGTGACTTTCTTAAAGAGTGCATGCCTCCTTTTGGGGGTTTGATGACGGATTGTAGTTCAAGTCCATCATCATCTTCTTCAACACTGGGTATGACGCCAAAGGAAAAGTCAAGGCAATTAGGGTGGAGGATGTTGAGATTGTGGGGAGGTTTGCCTTTGTTTAAAAGACTGGTCAGGGGCTCAAATTTGCACTTTAAAAGTGAAATGGAGGATGTTGAGATTCTCTTTTTTTATTTTGGGTGATTACTTATCGCCTTTTATTGTAATCTCTTCTTTTATAGATGAATTTTCTTTTTATTGGTTATCAAAAAAGGAAACTGTTTTTATAGGGAAAAAAAAGCAGTTGGCTCAAGAAACCATCATAAACATTTATCAAAAAAAATAATAAGAAGAAGAAACCATCATAAACCATCATGCTAAAAAGAATATCCATGGACTTCAAACCACCACATCATAAAGATTCTGGTTCTTTTGAATCTACTGCAAAGACGAATGTGCAAACCTGGCTGTGTGATCAATCATGAGTGAGCACGCCAGTGTTCCATAAACATGGCATACAATGCAGTCTGGGTCCATGTGTACGGAACATTTGTGTGTTCGCTTGTGGTTGGTCACACAACCAGTTCGCACACTTGTGTTCACACCAGATCTTTTTTTGTCATCGTGTTCGCACCAGATTTGAACTCGATCATAACAGCCAAAATAGCAATCAACATAACATACAAGAAAGAATGTAGCAGAGCAGAATGATCAATCCTAACCATTCAATGAAAAAGGAAAAGGGAGGTAAAAAAGGATGGCAGCAAACCAAATCCAACCATGAACATGACAATAATCTCTTTAATTAAAAACTATTAAAAGAGACAAAATTTGCAAAGTGTACCTCCTAATGGACGATAATAGAAATGCTTCCCCCACTTCACATGAACGGCTTTCTGTGTTCTTTGGCAGCATCAAAATGCTTCTCCCCCCATGAGTTGAATTTGGAGTAGACAGAACCTTCGGTAACAACCACAGAAGGAATTTAACAGCTGAAACTAGGTCAGATGAAATATCCATCAAATACAATATAGAAGATAGCTCATCTTCACTGAGCTTCCACCGCACAGAACTCTTGTCATCACTAGGAGGCAAATGCCCTGTACGGTGCCCAACCTTGGCAGCAGATTTTTCCGACCCCTCAACAAGCTGCCTAACCAAAGACATCAACCATACTGTGATGGCCCTCTTCTCAAGCAGCCGCAGCTGTTTCAAAGCTTTTCCAATCAAAACAACATCTCCAAGATGTGTGGCTCTCATCCCATCTACTGGCTTAGAAGCTTCCCCTTCAATACTAGTTCTATGATGAGGACAACTTATTCTATTGTCACATACATGACTCGTTGATGCCCCCTGGCTACCCTCAATTCTAGCAGCTGCCAACTGAGCCAGGCTCTGAGTTTTCCGCACAATTTTTTGTCGACCTCTAGATGTATTTTTTGTTGATTTTAGAGGTGGGTCAACCTTGAATGACTCAATGGATTTAGGGACCTTCCTCACCCACCAGCTATCTTCATCATTTGATGGATTTGGTGAAAATCCTTGCATATATGAGCTCCTTTCTTCACTTGATTTCTGTTTCTTTGATCTACGGTATTCTTTGCATCCAGGTGTTCCTTCTGTAACATCCATCTTCTTACCAATTAACCAAATTGACCTCTTACAGCTCCTTTGAGATTCATCAGATCGTGTATCTGGCAGTGTAGAATAAGAGCTAGGAAGATGCAATAGTATTGAAATGGCTTCCTTCAATTCTGCAACTTGGGCCTTTGTTTTGGCATTTCTACCAGACAAAGGACCAGGTGCATTCTGCCCAGAACTTGGATTATTTTTTTGTTTTTGAAAATCAATATTTACATTATTATCATTACCATTCCTGGAGTGGCTTGTAAGATCACTAAGAAGTCCATGAAGCAGAAGACGGCGTTCATTTGAGTAGACATTCAAGGCCTCCTCTAGTGCTGAGATATCAGCAATCCGTACTTCCAAAAAATCAAGCATGTAAGCCCCTGGCAGCTGCTTCAGAACAAAATAGTGTCTCCTCCGTCTATCCAGATCAACCAGAGTTTCACTTCTGTCCATAATACCACTAACTATAAGCTGCCTTGCATAAGCAGGAGGATTAAAAATACCAGAACAAATGAGTTCCATGATAAGAAGTTGAAGGCGCTTGAAACCTTCACCTTTGCCAACTTCATGTTGATCTATCCAACATACTATGATATCATGCACAGGGCCTGGGCTTTCAAAAATATCAGATGAATCTATTCTTCCACCCAAATTCTTTGATTTATTTTTACGTATAGAGACATTCTCTCCTGTAACCCCACCTGAAAAACTATCATGGTGACTGGCATCCCTTCCAAGGTTATTGGCTCCAAAAGTGCTCCCATTCTTGCACTGATTTGAGGTATGCATATCTTCTATTTTCATCTTCAATAGCAGAACTGCAATGTAAACCTGAGAAAAATCTTTTCTGCCAGTGAACTTCAGGTCACAAGGCAAAGAAGTCCGAAAATCTCTAAAATCACATGTCGCCCACTCAAAAAGGAAAAACAAAGAGCAGATAAATGAAAAACTAACTGTACCCATCCACTTCAAGGATGATTGCAGGCATGGGCTAACCTTTGCAATCCAAATCTCTTCAATGCATCCATCACAGAGATCCTCAAAGAGAAAATTGTAAGCCCTTTTCAGATCTCCCAATGTCAGAGCTTTATCCAAAGCTTGAACAGCTTTAGCCACACCATGACCTTGAGGGACAGGACTTACAGCCTTTACAAGATTATCAGCACGTTTCTGAATAGATGAAACAACATAGTCAAAGGTCAAGAAATGATGATGAGCAACCTGCCTTTTCTCACCATACAAGGTAAGAAGTTCTTCTGCACCATTCCGAGTCTTCTCTGCATCCTCAGATACCTTTGACAAGAAAAATCTCCTATTTGCCACACCAGATAATACAGGCAGTGGTAAAGGAAAGCAATCTAAAGCAACAAAAGTATCAGGTACAGCAACAATCAAGTACCAGAGCATCTCAACCATAGCAGAGGCAATGTAAGCCTTCTGAGAATTATCCACTAAATCAGAACCACTAGAAGATTCTTGTATGGAACGAACAGCTACTTCCACAAGGTTGTGGACATATGTCTGTGATAGTACAATGGTCTCTATCAAGCCATATATAATGGGCAATAGTAACTGTAAAGTTTCAAGTGATTCTTTATCCTGAAAGTCAACACAAATATGAAAGGTAAAGCCCAATTCTCAATTCTAATGAATGAATGAACTACAAACTAGATTATTCATGATCAAATAGTAGAACACAATTCATGTTATATCTGAAAAGCAGCTCTATTTTTTTCCCAGACAGGACAGAAGCATAAATAACCTGGAGTTGATTGAGGACCCAGTCAATAACAAGAGAGGGATAAAGCAACCCTTCTGAATGATGCCATCGAATGATGCGCACCATATACCACCATTTAAAATATAGAGAAGGTTCCTCGCTTTCAGTAAGGCCCAGTGACGAGTCACCCTTGTGAACAGACCCAGCCAAAAGAATTTGGGGAGATTCATCCCTGTTGACAGAGAAGAATTCATCTAGTAGGTACTGCAAATATTCAACAATATCCTTTGTCCAAAGATCAGTACGGGCTAATTGTGTTTTATCTGTTGTCCCAGAAGAAACATTGACAGAGAGAGGTCGGATCTGAAAAACAACAGCTTCGATTAGGAATGCTAACATATTTAAAAGCAAATGCTAGTAGTCAAAGAAAATTAGCTTCAAATCATTTTTAACCTGATTTAGATAAGATACTTTGATAAACCAAGTCGCCCTCAACAATGGAATATTATGTCTAATAAGAACTTCAAAAAGATCTTTCCTCCTAAAACCATGAGGGACATTATCAGCCAAAAAATGAAGGCATTTATGTTGTTGGGATAGACCCTGCAGAAAGAACAGATGGAATTAAACACTAGACATTAGCAAACGCTTTAACAGGAAAAGGAAAGCAACAGATATAAGAAGGATAATTTATGACCATCTATACTTTCATCTGTAAGTAGTTGAAATGGGAAATATATTTTCCCCTTCAGCATGTTATACCAATTAAAAGAGATATGTATACATATAGACAAGCATTTAAAAACACAAACAAATATATGTATATAACTGCTCAAATTAAGAACCAAACATGCAATGCACTGCTCTTGAAAAAGAAAATTTTCATCTCAGGTTATTTTAAGGAAAAACTAGAAAGGTGCACAGGCCACAGAATCATAAGTTCATAACTATATTGTCATATCAAGTCACTTCATAGTGCCCACACACACAGCATAGTTCAAAATGTGAACTCCTCAATTACAACCATGGCAATTTCAGGGGAGGCAAATATGTGGATTTTACGTGGGATATGTAATAATTTTTTACTGGCAATGAGATATATAATAACAAGCTGAAGGAAAACAAATACAATAGCCTTTACTTATAATATGGGAAAGCAAAGAAGAGTGAGGATGAAGAAAACACTTCAAACCTAATTTTCTCTAAACCAACTCATACGAGAAACCCATTTACTAATGAGAGGTGAAAACACCACCTTTCAATCACTAGTGTCATTAGATGTCAAATGCAGGCAATAGAGTAGGTATAAATTGTCCAAGGATGTCTAAACTCTACCAACTCCAAGAGGTTTATACAAGAAGACCTGGACATGTAAATGCAGAAAAGGAAAAAGATTTTTTTATTGCACAAACATCCTAATTAAAATATATGTTACATAGACACGATAATATTATGGCATGGCATGGAAAAGTGTTGTACACAATTTACCCAAACTCAAGAACCCAAAAACTAATGAGACTGACATTTGGAAATGTTATATACACAGACCTGACAGCCAATTCAAAGTGTCCATGCAAGATAGATTGTGGCATGGAAATGTGTTCAGTAGAAGCATAATCAATCAACAAAAAATAATGAGAGATTGCTAAGAGTGCTGTTGCAAGTAAGATGTATGTTTGAGAGGAACAGTGAGTACCTCAATCCATTTCTTTCGGGAGTCTTCCCCACATGGTTTTTGCTCAGGAAAGGCACCTGGCTTAAGTAGTAGTGAACCCGAGAGAGGCACCCCATACACCTGACCAGCCTGTTGCATTTCCATAATGAAATTATAATTTTTTTGGTGGAAATATAATTCTAAATTTTCAAGAACCAAATGGAGTGCAGGCTGCATTTATTAAATAACAACAATGTAAACATGCACCAAAAGTTGTAGATATCAGCACATGCAGGTAAGCAGAACACAAAAAACAGTTAATAGGATACACATGACTATCCATAACAAATCACTGATGAATAAAATGATATTTAAATATATATCACCTCATGCTCTATGAAAAGGAAGAAGTTACCTTATGCTTCTGAGCACGAGACTCATTAATAGCCCTAAGACGTTTCCTGATTGCCTGAAAGAAGAATCAATGAAAAGGAAGTGAAGGGCAACACTAGAGTGATAAAATCATAAAAAACAAGTAAGTGCACATTGAAAGAGGTAAAACTTCCACATCTCTATTCTAACATAGAATGAGTGAATGACTGATTTCATATAATCTACTTGTAAACCTTATAGAAGGGAAGAAAGTTTTATTTATGCATTTACAACAGGAGAAGAATTTAAAACAAAATGATAGGGAAGAAATTAGAACCCAACAGATTAAAGATCTCAAGAAAAAAAAACCATGCAGACAATGTGGAATTCACAAAAAGGCATACTATTTTGTCTTGTAATGTTCTTTCATTAGGGATACAACTTAGGTCAGGTTGGGTTGAGCACTTAATAAGTTCTGAATAGACCATGCCAGAACCCAAGGTCAATAAAATTGAAATTCTTCGACTCAAGCAACTCAACTTACACCCTAATTTTCATGGAACCTCCATGTTTGTAAGCAAAGAATACAAGAGTAGCATAAAGTTGTTGTTTCAATAACCAAAAGGTTACCTCTTTGCATTTTAGGGCTACAGGCTTCGAGAAAGTTATAAGTTGAGATAATAAAATCTCTCTAGCTTCCTGACAATTAACAAGCAAACAGGAGTTAAATTTGCAAAAATCAAAATAACCAAGAAGGCATGTCCACCTAGTGCATGCATATAGCAAGCAAATATAAATTACTTGACATAAAACTTTAACTACATATGAACGATCAAATGCAAATGGAATACTAGAATGCAAGGACATGCATACGCATCACTGTTCACTAAAAACTGTACACAGTTCTTAGACAAGGAACACAAGCAAAAAGGATACATTTATTTGTTTATTTATCACTTCTAGCAAGACATGTTCAATGCCCTAACATGAAAAGATAATAATTTCTATGGGCCCTATCATGTTTGCCGTACAATGTCGTGCAGAACTGCAAAAGAGCTACCTGTCATCCAAATTGGAAAATTTAATGGACAAAAGAAATGCTAACAAGAAGCTCAGATGAAAGTCAATGCACTATAGACAGGCTATAGCATGAAAGTAACCTTAGGCTGCATTTGGTAAGTGTGCAAATGCTGAACCAAATCGAATTGCACTCCGTTTTGGTTTCACAGACATTTGATAAGAATATTTCTGATATTTTTGCATTCAAAATGGGAGTAAAGTTTGCTTCTTTTGCCCTCAAAGTTGGTCTATGTAAAAAGGTAGACTCCAGTCTTTAAATTCGTGTTTGTATCCATCACAGCCAAATATGTTTGGTAATAATACCAAAATTTCATGAACCCAACATATTTGCATTTCCTCCCTTACCAAATACAGCCTAAGAAACAATTGCATTTGTGGGGCCCATCATGCATGTACCACATTGCAGGTGCAGAAGACCCGCTAGCTGTCTGGTGGTATTGAACAGTGTGACTATATAATAGTGATTACCAAATGTAAGAGATAAGTGGCATCAGAAAAAGGGGATATAAAAGGAATAAATGAATCTATTAAATAGGTGGAAAAACTAGAAGGAATAGAGTCAGAAATGAAGGTATTTGAAGGAACCTAGGAGTAGCTCCAATAGGTGATAAAATGAGAGAAAGTAGACTAAAATGTTTTGGTCATTTGCATAAAAGACCATCTACAGCACCAGTAATGGGAAGCAATATGTTGCAAGTTGAAGGGGCTTGAAAGGATAGGGGCAGACAAAAAGGATGTGGATTGAAGTACAAAATGATTTAAGCAAGGTTCAAAATATCAGTACGCCCAATACGCCGGTAGGGGCGTATCAGGCGAATCGATACCTTTTTTTTTTACTTTTTTTATTTTTTTTTTCAAAACCAGTTCAGGGGGGCGGTTTAGAGCTCCTCCACCCCCTGAACCGGTCAGACCCCCGATACACCCACTGTATGGGCGTATCGAAGAGGTCCCGAAACGATACGTATCGGCCAATACGGGCCAATACGTGTCGATACTTTGAACCTTGGATTTAAGCACTCATAATTTAACAATGGATATGACCCTAAATATAAGGGAATGGAAAAACAGGATTCATGTGGTTGACCCCATATAGATGGAAAAAAGGCTTAGATGAAATGATGAATCTGTTAGATAAAAGGAGAGGAAGAAATGTTTGAGGAGAAGAAAAATCATACCATATTTTCCCCTGTTTTTTATGCAGTTGACCAAACAAAAACTAACAATTTTTAAATAGGGCTAATGGATTGTTGGTGTAGGTGTATATTTCAAAGAGCCTGGATTCAGTAGTTAATAATTGAAAGCAAATCTTTTATATAAAGGGAGGAGGAAGTTGAGATTTCATGTAGATTCCATCCACTTGCAATATAAACAAACAGAAAATGAAAAATAGAAACAAAGTTATTTACCAAGCAGGCATTATTTCCAGGAAAGACAATAATTCAGTTAACTTAGGCACAAGCACTTGTTGCATAGTTCTTTATAATGGCTGGATTTGATCTTCTGATACTCAGTGAGTTTTCTCAGTTGTTCAAACTTCAAAGAGTCTGTATTCAGTAGCTAAATAAAAGCAAATCTTTATGGAAGAAGAGAAGAAAATTAAGATTTCATGTAGATTCTATCTACTTGCACGTAACAAAATAGAAAAATGGAACATGTTCCCAAGAACAGGCCTTTTTTCCAGGAAAGACAATCACTCAGTTAATTTAGGCACAAGCACTTTTTGGATGTTTTTTCTTTTTGATAAATTATTGGATGGTTCTTTCTAATGGCTAGATTTGGTCTTCTGATATTCAGGGAGTTTTCTTAAAAATCCTTGCCTGAAAAATCACTCTAAAATCTAGCTTCTGGAAAGCAAATCACAGATGTCATCTTCTCACATTTGCATCTTATGCAAGGCTGGTAGAGAGACTGTTCATCATCTCTTTATCACCTAGGAGTGACCATTTCTAGCCCACCACAAATTTCCAGGCTTGTGCCTGGGTTTTTTTGTTAAGGCCTGGCCTGGGTTCTGGGCCAAGCCAGGGTTGGCCCACCCTGCCCCCATATAATTGGGAATTGGGATAAGGCTTAGATGATGATGATGATATACTATATATATGTTATATGTCATATAATATAAATTATTATATATTAAATATAATGTATTTAGTGACATAGACACAAAGCCTGGCCTGGGTTTATATTTCAGACCTAGGGTCCAGACCGGACCCAGGCTATAGGCTATAGCCCTTATCTTAGGTTCTAAGACTGGCCTGGCCCGTCTCATGATCACCCCTAGGACCACCAAATAATTGTTCAATTAAATACAAAAGAAAATTGGAGAAATGAAAAGAATAAAGAGAACCAACCAATAGAATATGTGATAATATATATAAATATATATATATATATATTTTTATATCTCTAAAGATACTCCTAGATGCAAGCACTCAAGGCGATTAAATTGCTTCAGAAATATACCTCAAGTCCCTCAATGGTTTCCTTGTATCCATATTGCACATATTCCCTAGTTAGTGTCTCCTCTGGACAGTTTGGAAATTGAGGGTAAAAATCAGGTGGCCCAAGTCTACACAGAAAAACAAAGGAAAAAAATACTTAATTGATATGGTACATCTATCATTTTACTACATGTGTTAACTACAAAAAAAAAACATGGAGTAGCAGAACTGGAAGACTTGTAAATTGTAAATATGTAAAAGATGCAGAGAAAGAAAACCAAAATTTCTACTCATATTTTCTTTATCATCCAACTTAGTCTCCAGCTAGTGATCCCCCCCCCACCGAAAAAAGGGAAAAACCATTCAAGTTACCTGCAATTGAGTGGTTCCTTGTCACACTTCAGTTTGTAGGAAGTTAACTGAGATGGCCTCCTGCAAAACAATATCCTTAGGACATCACACCTAATAAACACTGGAACTATGATCCCTGAGAATGAAATCTAACAGGACCAGCAAAGACCTTTTGAGAGGCATATCAAAGCATAGCAAAAAAAAGATCAGTCAAAGCATACCAAAATATGAATATGAAAAAGAAATAAAGTAACACATCAACAAACCAACATTCTTGTCAAGAAAAACTAAATGAGAAAAAAATACTTGTGAAGAAGAAAACAGTGCAACCAGAGACTGACTGCTCATTTAGGAGAAAAGTGAATATGCTTCAAATCATTATTGGTTGACTGGTTTTTCTAGAGGACCCTGGAGACTTCATCAATTCACTAAAAAGACATGACATTAAACAACATATTCATCTGGAGCCTACTCCTGATAAATTTGCTGGATGATGAGACATGATAAGTAATTTGTTTGGAAATGGTTTTTATCAGGGAAAAAATTGTCACTCTTTGTTTTCAGCATTGATTGATGCCTCTTCCCTTTGCTATGACATCTATATCCTTTCTTCCTTGTTACCCTTGTTTCTGATCAATAAAACTTCACCCTATTACCAACCTACCAAAATCAAATAAAATAAGAGCGCTGCTTCAGAATGGTCATCAATTAATATGAGTATCCTCTAGCCCCAAAAAAAGGGGGAAAAAAGGTTTCTCAGTTTCTTAGGCACCCAAAATTGAATAACCATAGCAGTGTGAATTTTAAAAAGGAAATGCCTAGAAAATAGAAGGTTGTACATCTAGATATAAGTGTAGACCAATGTTTTAAAACGCAGAGGTGTGACGTGAGGCATTCCACTACCTAGAGGTGTGAGGTGTAGTTCAGAACATAAGAGGTGTAAGCCTCCTTAAGAGGAGGGGGATGAAGAGGAAGGAGGAGGAAGGAGGATCTCACTTTTCTTTATTTTTAATAATTTTTTTTATATTAAGAAGAATGAAGATGCATAGCACTAGTTCCTTCCCCTTATCTTTTCTTCCCTTCCCTTTTCTTTTCTTTTTTTTCTCTTTTTTTCTTCTCTTTCTTTTTCTTTCCCTTCCCTTTCTTTTCCTTTCATTTCCTTTCCTTTTTTTTTCTTTTTTTCTTTCTTTTTTATTTTTTTGTCTTTTTATATTTAATGTGCATGAGGCATACGCTTCAGAGGTATTCAGCACCTCTGGCATACGCCTCAGGGCGTTTTGGGGGAGCCTCGCCTGGAGGCTCCCACGCCTTTTAAAACATTTGTGTAGAGAACAAAGGCAAATAATATGGATCTTAGAAGGGATAAGTTCTCAGAAAAGAGCAATAAGTTACAAAAAGAAAAGTAAATTTTATACTTCTACTTGGATCATTAATAGCAAAGAGATGAGTATCAAATACTCCATATACAGATCAAGAGTTTGGAAAGCTTTGGATGTGAACACTCCATAAAATCATGTACAAGGCGCAGACAAAAGGGTGATATTAAAGCATAAAAGTTCTGATAGTTGTGTTACAAAGAACACAATAGCTGCCACATGCACCTATGGCAGCTCAAAGCAAATAGCAGCAAGATGAGATCATTGAGATGTCAAATCTGAAGACAACAGTAGATCCAATTTCTAGGGTTTACTCTTATATTCTTCTTTTTCTCTTTATGTTTCCACCTTTTTTCTAGTAGATATTAAGATGTTGCACACTTCATCATGATGGTTCATGTCCTACTGACAGACTTTACCTTCAAACTTCTCAATTTAGTGCTCAGATAAAGAATTATAAACAAAGATGTGAACTATCTTATTCTCAGAACAAACCTAAAGTTTATATACTAGATTGGATATCAACTCATTATACTCGGAAGACTAGGTGAATGATTATTAATAGAAGTATGTATGGGCATCATTACTCAACCGCAAATTAAAAGCCAGCATCAGGAAGCACAGGAGGGGGGGGAGAGAAAAAATATCTCCAAAATTACCGCAATGGCATAACCAAGAAACCTAGTTACCTGGAACTCAGAGAGAAGTTAGATGACGAGAAGGATGAATCAACTCGAGCAGTATCCCTAGCAGATCCACCAACCGTGCCGCTGCTAACTCCATCACCAGAGCTGGTAGCAGAATACCTTTGCATTTCTCCCCGCAATCACCTGCATACTGCCTCCAGCATCTAAACCCTACATGAAGCTATGCAAGCTAGACCTCATTGCAAAGTACCCACCAAATCTAACTTATATCTGACCACAAAACATCAGAGACAAACCCCTCCAACAAATCTGTAAAAATACTTTCACGGACAAATATTAAATTACTAGCCACAATCACAGATATATTGGGTGCAAAGCTTTCATCCACAATCTTAAGTTGAAAATTTGCTGTGTTGTATTCTGGAAAATGCGGGAAAATCTTCCCTGGTTGTCACCACAGAAACTAGATCCAACCAATAACAGAAGCCTTATTCTATCATAACAGGACATATACTTGTGCGAGTCGATTTGAAAGCTGAGGGGGGACAGATCATGCATCAAGGGAGCACAGTTACAGAAACTCTGAACGTAAGCGCTTGCTGTTGCTTTCTTGGTCCTTTACTCGAAAATGCGAATTTACTGACATCAAGATGGAGGGAAAAGAAAGTAAACTTTATTGAAATATAATAATAACATTAAAACTTTTAAAGTTCTACGATATAAAAAAGTAGCATTATTGTAAACCATAACAAGTAGAAGAGAAGAACCAAAAAACAACACTATCTGAACAAGTTATGTGCATTAGACTCTGGTAATGAGCTGAAATGAAGACCCGATAATACATGCTCAAAAAGAAATCTACTTTTCTTTTATAAAACCAAATTAACCGAGAATCTGAATCCATTTTCATGATCAATGCAATCTTCAAACTTGTTCAAATGCATGAAGCCATGAAATACAGAAACGGTAGAAAAACAAAAGGAAAACGCCAAGAAGGCGAAGCCTCTAAGATGATTAAGTATATAACCGGGAACTAACAACTCAATTCAACCCAAAACAACCTCACCATCTCGTCAAAGCAAGAAAAGAATGGAAAAGAACAAAATAAGATAAATGAATATTTCCTTTAAATCTTCAATGAAAACGACCAATCGGAAGCCGAAAAAAGATTCCAAATGAAATCTCGCATAACTTAAATAGTTTAAGTATTAGTACCTCCAATTCCGGAAGGGGAAAACTACTGACTTTCAGCAGCGGTGGGAAACACTAGGGTTTTAAAAGGTTCAGAAAGAGGTTCTTAGCAAGCAGTAAAGATAGGGCTCTCATAAGAAAGGAGGCATGAAACCTAGAAACAGAAACAAAGGAAAGGAGAAGAGAAATGGCGTACCTGAGAGAGAGAGAGAGAGTGAACGAATCGCAGAGGGAGGGAGGACGAAAGAACCTCCGCTTTGACTCTTGCTTTCGCTGATGATGACGATGACTCCGTGGTAGAAAGAGAAAAGTCGATCTATATTATAACTTCATATATACCTACAGGTTGTCTTCCCAAATTTAGCCCTGCTAGTTTCGTTGATTTGTTGGATGTGCCCTCAATCGGGCTCCCATTTCTGCAACTTCCTACCTGCAACTGGGCGGGGGTGCTATAAAAACCAAGAAACCGAGCGAAATCGAAAATTTTGCAGAATTTCGGTTTTTTCGGTTCGGTTTCGGTTAACGTATAAAATCGGTCAGTTAATCAAATCGACCGATATATATTATTATATATAACTATTTATATATATATATACTATATGTACTTATAATTATATATTTATAGTATTGATATTATAAATATTTTATGCATTCATTTATAATATAATATATATTATAACAATAAAAATCTAAACCGATCAACCGGTTAATTGACTGATTTGATTCGGTTTCAGTTTGAAAAATTGAAAAATCGATAGAATTAGGTTAAATTTCCAAAATGTGCTCATGATTAAGTGAAGTGGTTAACTACACAACACTACCATAAAGACATTAAAATATTGCATGAAGTGCAGATTCAGCAGATTATATTGTAAATATTGTTTTATTTTTTATTTGAAAAACGATCACGGGCCACTGATCTTACACGCGGCAACTTACATAGACACCTGTTTTTCCACGTGGCAATTTCTTTAAGAAATTAGTGACGACAAGACAACCCAGCAATGAGACGGGATGGGCTGCCCGCAGAGGCAGAGCGCGCCCAGACTTGGTCCGGATCGGCCATGATCTTTGTGTTTGGACCAAAACGGCAAAACGATTTTATATCCGGTCCAAATCTGACCCGACGAAGACGTACTGTGGGGAAGACCTATCACCTGTCCATATCAGACCGCACTTGACAGTGGGCGAGTAGGACTGTAGGATTCCCAGGTGCAATGACATACTCCTGAAACCTGATCCAGTAAAAATGCTTCGCCGCATTCCGCACCACTCGGAGGAATTGCGTTTCAACTTTGAAATGATTCTAACAGGAGATTCTAAACAAATTCAAGAGAAGGATATTTTAGTAAAATTGAATTACTCGCATCTAGATTCTTTTCGATAAGGGAAAGTGGGAGACAAGAGGATGTATAGCTTCGAGCATGGAGTACAGACTTCGGACCTACAATAAAACAAAATAACCAATCATAGGCAAGCACCGAGGTTGCAAGCTTACCGTACACTGCACATTTGCAATCGTCTGATGCAGGATATACGGATTACTCTCTCAAATCATCCAAAAATTGAGGGCCCTTCGGATTTGTCCAATTGGTATCCGGTGTTTTGTGGGCCATCCATCATTTGAGTTTATGGTGGAGCTGGGGGCCATAGACGCATAGTTAGGCCGAGCTAAAGAATTTAACAAGTTTTGTTGCATTCCTACTTCCTAATGGCGTTTTCGATAATCTACAATGTTTTTAAAATTGACCTGGAGGTCGACCCATTTTTCTTCCGAGTTGTGGGTCACCGGTTTGACTAGCGAACTGAATGGTTCAACGTGGTGATGTCATAATTAAAACTATTAAAAAAATGTATAATATATATTGATATAGTCGCTACTCGTGGGCAAGAAACAGGGGTGGAGAACCGGAGATCTGGTCTGGTGTCACCCAAACTCGGTGGTGTTAAGAACCCGTGTTGCCCAAGCTGATTTGGTGTCGCCCAAACAAAGGCTGGCATTAAGACGGGTGTCGCCAGCAACTAGAGACGAAAATCATATTCCCTCGAGCTTGTTTGGCCGCCTGTTCTCTCTATTCTCTCCCAAGTCTCCTCTATTCTCTAAATCTTTAACATGAAACATAAACCCTAGGACTATGTTTGGTTTGAAGGAAAAAGGTAGGAAAGAAAAGAAAAGGTAGGAAAACTTATACAAGGTTTGTAAATGTTTTCCTACCTTTCCTTACTTTTTCCTTCAAACCAAACACAGCCTAGAGGTTAGAATAGAGAAAGTGAGAAACAAAAAAGAAACCCATGAGATTTTTAATGATTTAATATAAAATAAATATGCATGTGTGTGAGAAAGGAGAGGAGGATGATGTGTCTATGAGCTCGGTAGTGAGTCCCTTCCTCTTTCTATTATAGGTATAGATATAGATTATCAAGGTTTTCAACCCGTCATTGACCCAGGCAATCAAATTGTTTGAACCATCACCCAGTCGACTTTTTGGGTCTGGTTCTTATAAAACCCGATAATTTCCAAAAACTGTTGACAAGTCAAAAAGATCGTCAACTCGAACGGTTGAACTGTCAAACTAGCAACCCGGTTAGTGGGTGACGATTCGACTATTGACTTATGTTTTCAATTCCAATTTTTAGGTTCAAAAATTTTGAAAAATCCCCAAAAAGTCCCAACCCCCAACAATATCTCGACCCTTTTCTCAGTTTTTCATTTGTTTCTCACTTTCTCTGTTCTAGCCTCTAGGGTTTATGTTTCATGTTAGAGATTTAGAGAATAAAGGAGACTCGGGAGAGAAAATATGGCTAACACAAGCTCAAGGAAATCTAATTTTCATCTCCAGTCGCTAGTGACACCAGTCTTAACGCCAACCTCTTTTTAGGCGACACCAATCTCAACACCAGCCTTTGTTTAGGTGACACCAAATCAGCTTGGGCGACACCAATTCTTAACACCACCGAGTTTGGGTGACACCAAACCAAATCTCCAGCCTTGTTTCTCACCAGTGAGTGGCAACTGCATCAATGTATATATAATACATTTTTTTAATATTTTTAATTATGTCGTCACTAGGTTGAACTATTCGACCCGCTTGGTCGAACGTGTGGCCTGCGACCCAAAAGAAAAAATAGGTTGACCTCCAAGTGGGTTGGGTTAGGTTAAGGGTCAACAATATGAACCTTAGCTTTAACACAAATTAATTTCTAAAAGTCAAAATTTCCCACTAGTAATGGGGTGAACAAATTTAATTGCTCATTTCCTTGGATTATCAAGTTTTTTCTTCTATTTTGTTCCTTTCCTTGGGTTCAGTTTTTTCCCTTTGTTTTATTAATTTAATTTCATGTAGATTTGTTTAATGGATTGTTTTGGTTCAATTATAAAATTGTAGTAAGAAAGAGCTTAATGTGAGTTTTTGGTTATCTTCATTTGTTCAATTTTGAAATTGTTTATTTTAACTTAGTTATTAATCTCATGCTAAGCACATTTTTTGGTTTTATAGAACTGCACAATGAGAGGTAACCCATTGCCCAAACTCAAGTCTCTACTACAACTAACTAGATAAGGTATCAATTGAGCCACCATCAATTGGATTATGTACTTCTCATAATAAACATGCTATATAAAAAGGAAAGTTTGAAGCTCAATAACTAAAAAAGAAAGAAATTTTTTCTACTATTCTACATGTAAAAAAAGTAAAAATACATCATCCTGTGCATTGCACGATTCACTACTAGATATTTATTATTATGAAAAGAAGGGAAAGGATATGTTGTCGTGTGGTAATTAATAATCGCCATTAACTTGTGCGTGTGTGTGTGTGCATGTATAAGTTTTTTTTTTTTTATACGAAGCTTGGTTCACTATTGAGTGAGCTTGAACATACAAGCGTTTGAGTCAAACCAAAATTGAACTCATGTCTCTAGCTCAAGTTGAGCTTAAGCCCAAACTCAAACTTAATGTTTTTATGTCGAGCCAAGCTCGAATAGCTAGATATTCAACTAGGATTGTCTCAAATCCACCCCTAAGTGAAATCCAACTGAGTCGAGTGTAATTTTAGAATGTCTTGGTTCTATTTGACTAGAATATACCAATATTCAAGGTTAAGTTTGAGTTCAATTCAAATTCAAGTTTTATTCAATTAAATATTTGATAAGTTCAAATTCAATTCAAAAGTTTGAAAATATTCAAGCCAAGCTCATGAGCTTTTGAATTGAATATTTTATTAGTTGAAGTCAAGTTTGAAAAAAACTATTTGAACTTATCATTATATTTGAACTCAAATTGAGCCTAATTGAATTCAAGCCCAAGCCATTCAACTAAAAGTTCAATTCAATTGCACCTCTACTAGTAACTACCCCCATGAATAACTAGATGTGCAAGTCCGACCAAGTTAGGTCGAGTTGAGGTCAACCCTAACCCAACCTAAGTTTTTGAAGAACTAACCTTAATCCTAACCTAATACAACTTTCAAACTAGCTTAATCAAACATAACCCTAACCCAACTTACTCTTATCATTTTAAAATCTCTCAAATTCTTGTAGTGTTTAACTAAAGAGACCTAAAACTCAACTTTTATGACCATATATTGAGCATATTTTTATTGGTATCTGCTTGTTAAATGTTTTTAACAATTCTTTTAGTCAAAAGTGAAAAAGGAATGTTTCAAATGCTTATGTTGTGTTTGGTTTGAAGGAAAAAGTAGGGAAAGGTAGGGAAACCTTTACAAACCTTGTATAGGTTTCCCTACCTTTCCCTACATTTTCCTTCAAACCAAACATAGCCTTAGAGTCTATCATTAATTCTTATTGAAATTTAAATTAGTGAAATTAGCAATAATAAAACATAAAATTACATAATTAAAATAACTATAACACCTTTAGGGTTAAGGCTCAACGCTCAAGGCTTCCTTCATTTTCTAGTAAGTTGTTTATCCGAATAAGAGAATTTACCTATGTTCATTTATTAGGAAATGTTAGTTGGGAAAATGAGACAATTTCTCAAAAAATCCCTAAGCTTTGTGTGTAGATATAGGCATTTTAATCCCATAATAGTTTGACCAATTTTCCTTATCCATGGGTAAGTGATTTACCCACCTAGGAGAAGGGAAAAACTTATCCAAGAAAATGACCCAAAATTTTACTAAAGAGAAAGTCACTTTCCATGGGCCCTACTCTTCCTTGGAAAAGAATTTCAGGGAATTTAATAATTCCACATTGACCAACTCTCCCCAACATACTAACAAATAAATAGGTCCTAAGAGTTAAGACAAGTGGATATAGTAATATGATAATATATAGAATAACAATAGTGGACTCAGGTCCATGTTGGGTGGGTTGCCCCAAGTTGTTGACCCTAACCCAACTTGAAGTGAAGTCAGGTTAGTCAACCATAACCAAAACTCAATCACCAAACCCAATAGGTTCGATTAGGGTTAGGTTTGGGCAAACCTGACTCAAGTCACAACTCTACGATCATTTCAACT